CTCAGTAACTATAAATCAGGATCTTGACAGACATTAAAAGCTTTGAAATTTATAAAAAAAAAAATCCTCGAAAAAGATGTTGATTTCGTTCGCATCGTGGTAGCAGCTAGTATTTCATCCAATAATTTTACTAATCCTAACATGTTGCAACCGTTTTGCCTCTTTTCCGGAGCAGATAACAAATCTTGTCCTTGGGGGTAGACTTTCCCGTCGCATCTTCATGAAGATGCCTTAATTCTCCTTAGCCCATACCTACAATGAAGTTTTGGAAGATGAGTATTATTTCTTTTTTCATGAAAAAGTATTTCACAAGTTAAACTATCGTTTAAAAGTATAGTGTAATTTATGAATTTATTAAATTACTTTTAATGAAATTATTTTTTTGTTATTTTATTAATAGTAATTTAGTAATTTCAATACTTAAACTGCACTTTTAGTTTTAGTTTCAACTCAGTTTATAAAATATAAATTTCTTTTTTGAGTTAAAATCAACTAATATATAACTCTAACACATTGTTTATATAAAATTTTAATCATTTATCTTTTTATTACGAATAATTTAAATTTATCTTTTCACTCTGAATGACCTAGATTTATTATGATTTTTTAAATTAGAAAAACAATTATCATTATTAAAAAAAGATTAAAAAACGAATAAATTTTAACAATTCATATTAGAGAAATGAGTAATATCAAGTTTTGTCTAAGTTGATCTAATTTATATATATTTATTGAGGTTTGTTCCTTGATATTCTAAAATTTTAAACTCTTAATTAATTTAAATTAAAATTTTTTTAAATTAATAAGTATTAACTCAATGAAATCAATAAGACGATACTTATTAATAAAGAAAATTTGTCATTCCCATCATTTCACTTTCCCTCTTATTTTCTTCAAATTAAACATATCTGTTGGGATTAGGCCCAACGCCCTCTGAGGGCCACATACAGTAGGCCCAACTACGTGCCCACAGGCCCAAGAGGAGGGGACATACCCACGTG